ACCCACGGATGGCTTTTCTGTGTTTTCCTATGTCTCAAGGAAGCCTCAAGGGTATGCGCATGGTTACAATGCCCGTCAGAGCAGCCAGTTGTAAATGTTTTTTATTTGAGGGAAGGTTTCATCTATTTCAGGCTGGTCTCAAGCTTGGTATGTTATTGAAGATGAACGTGGCCTTCTGATTCTCCTGCTTTGACTGCCTAACTATTGAGGTTACAGTAATACCTTAAACACTCCTGAGTCACGGGATGCTAGCAGTCAAATTCAGGACTTTGTTCATACAATCTAGGAAGGCATGTCTCCAAGCAAACTACACCCCCATTTTCTTATGTGTGTATTTTTATCGGTTTCATCACTTTTCTTGTCTGTGACTATACTCTTGATATTAGTTTATTCATTTAAGGAAGTAAGGAAACAATTGTTCACATACTGCAGGCTTGTTGGGGGAAACAAATACAATGAAAATTATTAAATCTTATTCTCTGGCAATATCAAAATGTCATAACCTTATAACAAGGGAAATGATTTCTCATATTCATTCATGGTTCTGGAGGGTAGGAAGCCCAAGATGAAGCTGCTAGTACAGCCAGTAGCTGGTGAATACATGATCACAGTGTCTCATATGGTGGAAATGGCAAAGCAGCTGTTTTGGGGTCCTTTTATTTATTTACTTTTAAACTTATTTTTATTTTCTGTGTGTTTTTGCCTGCATGTATGTCTTTGCACCATGTGTGTGCTTGATACCAGTGGAAGCTAGAAAGCATTATGTTCCCTGGATCTGGAGTTATAGGTGGTTGTGAGCTGCCCCGTGGGTGCTGGGAATTGAACTCTGGTCCTCTGGGAGAGCAGTCAGTGCTCTTAATCACTGAGCCACAGCTTAATGAGGTTACTAATCCCATTCATGAGGAATCTGTGCTTGATCGTGACCTAATAAGTTCCGAGTGTCCCCACTTCCAAACAGTACCACCTCAAAGGTTAAATTTCAGGGCATGAATTTGGGTGACATAAACACTCAAATCATCGCAATATGTATTTACTGTCCAAGCCTCATGGCAGGCAGATGGCAGGGCCCAACAAATCAGTAATCATATTTGTGTGATTAGTGAGGTGTAGAGTAGAGACATAGCTCAGTGAGTAGCCTAGCAGGCATGAAGCCCTGGGCTTCTTACCCAGCACTGTATTGAACTTGCGGTAGTGGTCAGTGCCCGTAAGCCCAGTGCTCTGGAGGTGGAAGCAGGAACATCAGAAGCTGAAAGGTAATCCTTGGCTATAGGGAGTTTGTGGTCTAGCCTAGACTCTATGAGACCTTGTAGAAAATGGGGAGAGGGTTAGTGAGGTAACAGAAAATGCAACAGGGAATTAGAGGAATGCCTTCTAAGGTGCCTCTTTGCCTTACATGTTGAAATTGAGAGTGACTTCAAAAGAATCTATTTGTAAAATCATAGAAATGGTAACTTCTGCACAATTTACACTGGCAGATCCCCAAGATTTCAGAATTCACAACTGGTGTTTAGAAGATGGAAAATAGGTTTTGATGTTATTGTGGATTTCCAGAACGGAAAAATGTTGGAAAACGTGTAACAACTAAATGTCTTGTCTCATTTCATCTGCTGATGTTGGAATGGAGTTTGGTTGGCTGCATGTGAATGTTCAGCGAAGCATCTCTAATGAGGCTTGGTGCCTGTCTTCTCCGTTGCTTACCCACAGTAGAGTTTCTGTTGTTTGTAAACTTGAGTGGCATTCGCCCAGTTGCTGGAGGGCTACCTTGGGATCCTCTAGCAAGAATCCAATTCTCTTTTCCATGTCTGAGTCACAGAAGTGGTAAAATAAATGGACGGTGGGAGTCTTACTGTTCATCTGGCCTTCACACATCTACATGGCTTCTTTCTGGACCAAAACAGGGATAAAGAAAGCTTAGCTGTTCAGAATCTTGACCATATACCAGACACTAAAGAGGCTAGCAGGTGTCTTACAGAGTACTACATGGGGATATTATCACAACTTTGTCATGAGTTGACTTGAACTTTGAAAAGTACTTACCTTTCCACAGGTCCCAGGGTTTGCAGATAGAAAGAGGGGTTAGTCTTCCATTTTGTGATATTAGGGAGAGATGGAATAGCACAATCCCGTAATACCAACACTTGGCGGGGGGAGGGGGCTGGAGAATTACTGCACACAGTGAGTTCCAGGCCAGCCAGACCTACGTAGCTCTGTCTCAAAAACAAATCAAAGAAAAAAACCCAACAAAGCAGTGGTGTTCTTCCTATTCCAGCAGCCTATATAGTACCACATTTCTCCTTGTTCTTCTTCTCTGACTTCACCTTAAGGGGCTCTCCGCCACCTTTTTCCAGGTGGGCTTTCCTCGGCAGTATGCTCTAAATGGCTGGCAATGAATGGAAGCGATGTGCTCTCTCCAAATAATGTTTCCTTCTCTATAGGAGATCCAGGCCAAGTTCACGGAAGAGAGATCTAGAGTAGAATTCAATTTGGAGAGGCTGAGGATGTAACTCAATTGGTCAAGTACTTGTCCAACATATGACGGGATGGTGGCACACATTGCTAACCCCAACCCCTGAGAGGTAGAAGCGCTAGGCTCAAAATTTCAAGGTCCTCATTGATGGCCAAGCATGTTCAAGGTCATTCTGTGCTGCATGCAGCCCTATCTTTAAAAAATAATCAGTTTAGAGCTTAGGGATGTATGGTGTAGTGAAGGCTGTCTGTCGGGGTATCTGGACAAATACTCTGAAGCAAGAATCTCTGTGCCTTGTTCTTCTTCTAATCCCCAAAGTTTTCTCAAAAGGGAACTGGGTGCAGCCCAGTAACTTCCTCATTTGAACAGAGACTTTAGTTGATGCCTGTTTTATTTCATGACCCTTTCATATGCTCTGAAACTCAGTCAAGTACCAGGCTATTTTAAGAATCCCAGTGTTGCCATTTGCAAGCAATCAACCTGGGTAAGGAACACAAGGCGGGTAATTTCATCCCAGGGTTTCCTCGCATGTCTCTATTCTCCTAGAATTTCCTTTTGTTTATCGATGGAGAGACTGTCCACTTTTTCTGTATCGGTCTAACAGACATACCCATATGCATACATATCAGCAGTCCCACTGGCAATTAGAGGCTGAAAACAAACAGCCTTAGTTGGACGTGGTGGGTCCCAAAGCAAAAGAAGACATAGGTGTAGGAAAGAGACTTGTGGGAGTGGACAATAGGAGTGTGGGAGGAAGAAGAGAGGGAGAGTGTGATCTCTGGCTGTGCGACATTGTAAAAGGAACACTGTTAACACAAAGGAAACAAGTGACCCTGCCTGGTGACCATTTTGGCATCGATATCATGAACCCTTTCCCACCGGGTCAGTCCTGGGGGAGATGGACTGAGTCTGCAGGTAGGGGTGCTGTTGCCACCGTCGATAGCATTTTGTTCACCTCGGTTTTGGCAAACAAAATAGAACTCCTGTCAGTTTATTCCTGGAAAAGCGCGCTTTAAACATTTGGAATGTAGTACCATTTAACTCTTCGCAAATATAATGGTACCCTTTTATTCAAAGTCTACTTCTTCTTATTTGTTTATTTGTTCTCTGTGTGTGTGAGTTTGCATGCATGCTCCTATGCCCATTCAGCAGAGGACAGTTTAAGAAGTTGACTTTTTACTTTCACATGTAAAAACTGGGGCTCTAACCGAGGTTGTCAGATCTACTATGTAGACTAGGTTGTCCTTGAACTTTTGGTGATCCTCCTGCTTCAACTTGCTGAGTTCTGGGATTACTACTGTGAGTCACCACGCCTGGTTTACATCTATGCTATTGGCTGACTACTTTGGCTTGTTCCTGTGCTTGAAGTTATTAGCCTCAATATATATGTCCGAGATTATAAGATGCCCCAACCCATCTTAATATAGGGAATGTATTTTAAAACCAACATTTTATACTGCATTTCAAACATTAGGGCTTGTGAAATGACTCAGTGGTTAAAGGCATTTGCCTGACAACCAGACCTAACTCACCGTGATGGACAAGGTAGGTGAGAACCGATTTATTCCCAAAAGTTGTCCTCTAACACACGCAAATAAACGAACACAAAAAGACATCAGTAGGTAATTGGCACTTTTAGGAGGAATAGTAACCTATCAGAATGGTGGCAAAAATAGGCAATGTGGATTTATATTTTTAGGCAGGTCTCATTCTAGCCCAGACTGACCTGGAGCTCACTCTGCAGCCCTGGCTGGCCTCAAATTCATGGCAGTCTTCCTGCCTCGGCCTGCCAAGTGTGGTAAGTACAGATTTGACCCATCATGCCCAGCCAAAGTGCCAGAAAGGACTGGAGCCATGGCTGCAAAAGTCACCCGAAGCCGGGAAGAGCTCAAAAGCTCAGGCAGATGGGGAGTCAGATCCTCTCGGTTCACAGATGAGAAGGGCAAGATCGATCAGAGAAGAAAACGGGAAGTGAGGGTGCAGAGCAAGAGGCAGGTCGGGACAGAAGTTCTGCAATGTGGCATTGGGATCCTGGGCAGTTTGGCAGCGTCAGGGAGGAAGGGGAGGAGAGAGAGGGACTTGTGATAGCGCCACTAGTGATGACAGGGAGCAAAAAGGAAAGCAGAAAGCTTCACCTCCTTATCTGTAGACTTCTGGGGCCATTGAAGAGGTGTTGGGCAGGGACTGGAACCTGTGCGCACGTGCTTCCTGTAAGTAGCTGAGGAGCGTCATGTGTTCAGGTCAGGAGCCTGGGGCTGTGTATGTGCTGTGGACTTCCTGGTGGGCACTTCCTCCCTGACTTGTCTTTCATATCCCAGTACTGTCTTGTTCTGACTCACTGATGGCTGCCACATGGCATTAGGCAGCTCAGCCACCGCGCTAGGTTCTCCAGACGGCAGGCAGGCAGAGGTTTGCATTTTGTCTTGGACATACTTTTCCCTCTTGAGAACTTGAGGAAGGGGCCTTTTGACAGTTTCACTTGTTGAGTTGATTGCTTACAGCATCTTACAGTTTCAAATTTCCTTTTTAATAGGTTTTTGAGCCCGATGACCTTTATTCAGGGACCAATTTCTCCAAGGTTCTGAGTACTCTTTTAGCTGTCAACAAAGCAACAGAAGGTAAGGCCTGCTGGTGATTTATGGTCCACGTTTCTAGATGCCAACTTTGGCCACAGTTGTTCATATGGTACAAATTTCTTCCCTTCCCCCAAATAAATCTAAACAAATGTAAAGTACTTCAATTTTTAATAACTTAAATGTTCTTATCACAGAATAACAAGGAAAATACATACCTATCAAGCCTACATATTGCATTCTTATATCCTTAATACAACAATAAGAATCAAAAAGGGACGTCATGCGAAGCTTTTGGATTGCCAATTAAGTATAACAAGACGGAAAACAAAAAGGGAAAGACCAGTTCCAGTTCCTCCTTTAAAAAAAATAAGGTTTACAAAATACAGCCATCACTTCTCTTTCTCCGCCAGAGATATTTTTCTTCTACTTTTCCATGGGTCGTGAAAAAGAGCTATTCAGTAGTTTTGCACTGTGAATGAAACCTCAGATTCCCCATGAATGAAAAGAGTAGCTTATTTACACATTTCTTATCCACTGTATTGGAGGTCATTAAGTATAAGCAGAATAAAGAGGAAGCTGATATAACTATACTAGAAACCCTTTTCTGTGACATCGTGTCTTAACTCTCTTGGTAGCAGCCATCAGGAGTTCAAAGGCTTTGAGCCCTCTCCATGGGTCTGGGCTGCCTCAACAGCTCCAAGTGATCTCATTCAATCTCTGAAACACCTTTGGAGGCCATGGTGATGGTGAAGTCCACATTATAGATGAGGAATGCCAGCCCACAGTTACCCAACTAGAAAACAGATGACTAATCCAGGATTCGAACCCACACATGACTGTCCGGAGCCCTTATGCCAAACGTGAATCCTGCCGCTGAATGGTTTAAGAGCCAAAAGACTGTGTGCCCAGCACTGCCAGGTGCCATAGAGGAAGTAGAAGATATGGCCCTGCCCTTGAGAAAATTACCATCTATTTATGGAGACTCAACTTATCCACGTGAAACAATTAGAGAACACAAGCAGACAATATAATCAAGTGCCAAGTAGGATGGAGCAACTAGGAAGCCATCGAGTAATTATAGTTTTACCCCCAAAGAGCTGTAGATAATAGCAAGATGGAGAAAAATACTTCTGCGAAGTTGTTCTTTTGCTATTTGGAAAAAAAATGTTTTTGAGCTATTGCGAGGCGTATAGCAGAGAGTACAGCTAATTCAAGTAGCTATATTTAACACACATGACAAGTATCCAGTTCTGGGAAGGGAGGGTGGTACAATTCTAACATTATGCCACACAAATTATACGTTCCTTTGCCAAACTCTTCTAGCAAGTTTTACAGTCTCTTCGCTTACCACAGATATTTATAAAAATACAAGGAGGTGAAAGTTAAAACCCACAGCCTCAAGGAAATGACTTGGATACTGAGCCTGTCGCCTAGGGAATGTTTGGGCTTTAGACTTTTGCAGTTTATATCTTTTAAAAATAAGTGGAGAGGAAAAGGAGCCTCATTTGAATTTGTCAAGAAGCCAGCCTCTCCCTTTAATACACACTCAGCATACTGAGAACACCCAGCTCAGCTCTGGCCCGATCGAATTTCACAAAGAATCAAGCAAGAGAAGGCTCCCGTGTTTGGTTTTACAAAGCGATTCTAGTATTAAGATCGCATCTGTCTCAAATTCCCTCTTCTCCCTCATTCTGATTCTGCACCCCACCTCGACACACCAGGGAGACTTTATGTTATGGGTGCCACGCATATTTTCACATGTAAGCAAAGAACCCCTAAGTTATGGGCCAGCAAACAAAGAGAGAAATTTGAAATATTTCAAAAGTAATAAGAGCCACAAACAGCTGTTTGGCACCCGATATAGGTCTGCCTTGGATAACAGGGCATACTGTGACAACTGGTTCAAGAGGGAAGAGTTGTAGGGAAATGGGTTAGGAGAAAATGTGGTTCTGTCGCTGTTTTTCATTATACTGGACAGCAGTGGCCAGTAAGGTTAAGAAGAAAAAAGTTGGCCGTTGAAAGGAAAAAAAAAAAGGGAGGGGGAGCCTGAAACACACAGCCTGTTCAGAATGATAGAAGTCCCAGGGGCTGCTCGGATGGCTTTGACAATGTCCTGGGAAGGAGCTTCTCATGTTGTCGGTGGTTTGCTGCCGTGAGTGGTTCTTTTACCATCTTTTCCTCTTTTCACAGATCAGCTATCAGAAAGACCATGTGGACGGTCCTCTTCTCTTAGTGCTACCGCTACCAACAGTGCCCCACCAAACCCACAGGCAACAGTTCCCAGCACCACTCCAGCGCAGCAAAGTCAGGCAAAGGCAGTGGTAAGTGAAGTCCCCACTCCCTGCCCCCTCTGCTTTAGAATCTGTCACATCAGATCAGCATCCCAGATGTCTTTTCATACGTGGTGAGGTCAATACTCTGTTTGCTGTGTCACTGGACAGACTAGGTATAGAGTGAAAGCCAGTTCAAACTGGAATGCTAGGCCAAAGCAGGTAGGTGGGGTCCCTGCGTCTGGAACTCAGGGTTGAAGCCCAGCTCTGCTGTTTATGAGAATTAAGCTAGTCACTTTACTGGGAATGCTTTGCAAATGTCTGTCGTCATGACTGCTCTTGATGGCACTTCGCTGTTCCTTTCCCTGCCTCATGACCTTATTAGAATATGTTATTACCTGGGACTCACAAGCAAACAATAAGTATCTGTTATTGTTCTGGTCTTGATTGCAATCTTTTTTCTTTGAATTCTTATTGAGCAAGATCCAAGCATAACTGGATCTGGTGGAACAAACCTGCATTCCCAGCACTCTGGAAGCTGAGGCAGGAGCATCACTACTAGTTTGAGGTTAACCTGGCCTACATAGTCCACTCAAGACCAGTGTCTCAAAAGAAGATCCACTTTTAATATCAGCCCATGACAATTCTCTATACTGGATCTCCTAATTGTCTTTGCATTTGGTCTTAGCCACTTTGATTTGGGAGGAAATGCGATTTTCTGTTCTTTCATTCTTGTCCGGCCTACTGTAGGCCACCACAACCTGTTACTTCCAGAGCATCTGAATAGGTGGTTCTTATCCTTCTGGAGATCGCACCTTCCTCCTTCTCCTTTTGACACAGGCTCTCATATAACCCAGCCTGGCATAGAACTTGCTACTCTTGGGAGGTAGAATGACCTTGAACTTCAGGTCCTCTTGCCTCCACTTCCCAAGTGCTAGGATTACCAGTGTGTGCAGTCATACTTGGCCTATACACTTCTGAGGATTGAACCAGGGCTTCCAAATAAGCATGCTACCCCTGGAGTTACAGCCCAGCTGCCCCAACAGATCCTTTAGAGAAGCTGGTGAATGCTATGGCACCATAGTCTTTGTCCCTCTTATATTGCATATAAAAGCTTGTGTGCACAGATTAATATGGGCAAGGAAAACTGCGTTGAACTTATCAGATTCTCATAAGGATCTGTAACTCTCAGAAGTTAAGCCCAGAACTTCTTATTTATGTAATTGTGGGTGTTTTGAGGCAGTCTCATGTAGCTCGGGCTCACCTTGAACTCGATGTGTAGCTGAGGATAACCTTGAACTCCTGATCTTCCTCCCTTCAAATCCTCAGGGCTAGGATCACAGATGTGTGCCTTCCCCTACCCAGCCTAACTGCGACAAGTGATCTTTACTTTTGACTTAAGGCCAGCCTAGTTGAGATTTGTTAACTGAGAGACAGGAGTGGTTTTTATAAGGGTAGTTTAGCAGCTAACGTTGGGACCAAATTTTACGTTGGCGAGAAGCAGGATGGAATAGTATATTAAGTTCGCTGTAGTAGCTGCTGCAACTAAGCAGCCACGTTTAGAAAACTGATGAAAGAAAAGGGAACCAAAAGCTGTGACTCCCTCGAAAATGTTCACTCTGACAAACGCAAGTTTTATTTTAAAATTTTGTATTATTATTATTATTATTATTATTATTATTATTGCTGTTATTGTTGTGTGTACATGTGCTGTCTGTATATAGTGCAGATACATGTGAGGTCAGGAAACAACATTTGGGAGTCAGTTCCTTTTTCCCTTCCACCAGGGGCTCCTGGGGTGAAACTCGGGTCATCATTCCCCAAGACCTTGCAGATGCTTGCATATCGATTTGAAGGGGTTATTAATCTGTCCTGAGACATACTCAGAGACTTCTAAATTCAAAACAGAGGCTAAGCTAGGCACGATATCACATAGCTGCAATCCCAGCACTTAGGAGGCTGAGAGGCAGGAGGATTGCTGTGAGTCCTGGCCAGGCTACTTAGCAAATTCCAGGCCAGCCTGAGCTAATGTGAGAGACTGTCCTGGGGAAAAAAAAGAACAAAATAAACAAACAAATAAAATAAATAAATGAGATGGGTCCGCGGTTTTACTTTTTTAAAAATGGAAAAAGATATGTTTTACGGGTATAGGTGTTTTGCCTGTATGTATGTCTGTGTGCCACTTACAAAAGTGCCCAAGAAGACCAGAAAAGCACAATGATTTCCCTGGAACTCGAGTAGTCACAGATGGTTGTGAACTGCCATGTGGGTGCTAGGACCTGAACCCAGTTCCTCTGTAAGAGTAGCCAGCATTCTTAACTGCTGAGGCATTTCCCTAGAGCCCTGGGGTTATGGCCTTGGTCACTCCACTTTGCTGACGTCTACATAATTTCTGCGCTGGCCTCAATTAGACGGGCACTTCATCTGGTGTGGCTTTTGTTTCTCTAGGAAATGACGGAAAATGGAAGTCACCAGTTGATAGTAAAGGCGAGATTCAACTTCAGGCAGACGAATGAAGACGAACTGTCAGTCTGTAAAGGCGACATCATTTATGTCACTCGAGTTGAAGAAGGAGGCTGGTGGGAAGGCACGTTAAATGGGAGAACAGGATGGTTCCCTAGTAATTATGTCCGAGAAATTAAACCCAGCGGTGAGTAAAGCTTTTGCCAAGTCTTATGTGCAACACTTGTTCCTTCTTGGTGTTCGTACTGAAAATGTTTTGGTTTAAATTGCTTAACAGGAACAGTTGATACATGTATGTGTGTACATCCAAAATAAGACTAGGACAGAACTGGGAATAGTTACAAATGTCGAAACAAAGTTGTATTTAGACTATGAGAAAACCAAATAAGCAAAGGAATTCAACGTTCAGACCACTGTTGTACTGTAACTACGTGCCTTTCTGTCTACCGATTCTAGCCCAGAGTGCACAGCGCAGAGCCCTTCCTGCTCCTCTGAGAATCACCATGGCAGACAGAATACAATAACAAGAGAAGTTGAGAGCTAACTTCCCTTTTTAGCTCTGCACCCTTTAAGCAGACCAAAGGCTTACTGCCTCGGAGATGTGTGAGCGAGATAACTGCTCGGGCGGAAAGCTGCCTGGCTGACCGCGTTAGGAACAAGATTGTCCTTAGCTTATTGTACACCAGGAATTGCTTTCCCCTTTTCTGAATAATGTACACACAATAGACTTTAATTGCTCTTTAGAAGTTTGTTTTAGAGGCTTTTTTGGGTAACTTGTTTGTCCTTCTTAAATAAGAAGGCAGATTCTTCTTGTGATACTTAGCAGAAATTAGCAGAGTATCATGGAGTACATCTGGACTCCTAACCCTGGGGAAGTGGAGGTGGGTGGATTAAGAGTTTAAGGTCATTTTACCTGTAAAAGGGGTTCTAGGCCAACGTGGGCTACATAATACCCTGTCTCAAATAAACCAAACAGCAACAACATTCCGTAGGACCCTTTGCAGTCAGTTTAGTAAAGGATGTGATAGTGCCGATAAAAGTGCTGTTAGTCCATCTTTTCATTTTTCAAAAATATTTGCCCAGGGGCTCTTTTCAATAGCTTGATCCTCCTTGTATTGTCTCTTCTTCATTTTTCCGTTAAGGCTTCCTAATTGATGGGGCCACTGGGTGGTTCAAAGAGTAGGGGTGCTTCCTGCCAAGCCTGCCATGAGTTCGATCTCCAGGGCACGTGGTAGAAGGAGAGAACCCACAACTCCCAAAGGTTTTTCTCTGACCCCTATATATGCACCACAGTTCATGCCCGCTAGAATAAGTGAATGAATGAATAAATAAATAAATAAATTTTAATTTAAGAAATGATAGTGGAGGGCCAGTGAGATGCGCACTGGGTGAAGGTGCCCGCTGTACAGCAAGGCACTGGTTGCCTGAGTCTGATTCCCTAGGACCTATGGAAGAGTGAAGGAGAGAACCAGCCCCACAAAGCAGTCCTTTGAGCTCGGTATGCATGCCATGGTCGGAGTGCCATCTCCCACACACACATCATGCTCACACGGACACATCGATTTTTACATTGACACATTTAATTAGTAAAAATATACACTCACTCTAATTAAAATAAAACATCTCAGAAGTATAGTATAGATCATGAAAGTTCCTTCTCCCTGCACAGCTGGCCCCAGATAATTATCACTTGGAAGGCTTTCCTTAAAAGTTCTTAAGATGAAATTCAGTTGTTCAACTTTCTGTGTTCTGGGATGGGGGAGGGGAGCTTCTCATTGAATGGAATGTATTTCCTAGAGGACTTATAAATATTTGTTTGTATGGACTTCTCATCAGTTTTTGTTACGTTAGGCATGAACCCCAGCTCCTAATACATGCTGGGCATGGACCCCAGCTCCTAATACATGCTAGGCATGGACCCCAGCTCTTATACATGCTGGGCATGGACCCCAGCTCCTAATACATGCTGGGCATGGACCCCAGCTCCTAATACATGCTGGGCATGAACCCCAGCTCCTAATACATGCTAGGCATGTTCCCCAGCTCCTAATACATGCTGGGCATGTTCCCCAGCTCCTAATGCATGCTGGGCATGGACCCCAGCTCTTATACATGCTGGGCAAGAGATTTATTTACCTCTGATCTAGAGTCCCAGTCCTCAGAATTTTTATTTGCTGGGAATTGAGACTTTTTTAAGCTCTGGAAGTATTTTCACAGGCCCTGCCTGGAATTTCCTTGGTTTTGATTATTTTTACAGCTGACCTTCACTCCCTGCCGTAGCTTTCCTTTGACATAATCCGGTTGTCAGGACCCCTAAACCATTTTCCAGATTTACACCGAATGTTCCCTGGTGCAGTGTCCTCATCTACAAAGCTAAAAGAAACGACTTTGGTTGCCTTGCCTAGAAATTCCAAGCATTGCTTAAAGGGTAGAGAAGTGGACAGCGTGACTCTCACTTTGACGTCTTATAGCAATGTGCTATGGACAACCCTAGGCCTTGCTCTCCCTTCTCTTTGGGTTTTTCTTGGGGTTCTCTGGTTTAAGACTCAGATTAGCAATCTCTGGTCTGATTTTAGCAGTTAGGGGATCCCAAGAAACAGCCTGCTGGTGAGAGTAGGTGTGGCTTCAGAGTCCAGGAAGTTTGTGAGGCCAGGAAGTTCTCGGATCTGATGTATGTGGAACAGCATCTCTCATGAGGTTCATTGTCACCACTTTCTCGTCAGCCCCTCTGCTGTTCTTGTCACTTCTGTAATCTAGCCTTAACTCGGTAATCAGGGCAGTTCATTAACAATGTAACCCAAATCATGGCCCCTCCCAGAAGTATAAAAGCCTAGGTCACCACAGTAGTACTGTCCCAACTTTGTCCCTAGGTGATCTCATTCCACTTTATGCACACTGGTCTCTTGGCCTACCTGGCTGTCCAGCCATTGGCAATGCTCTCCTCAGATTTCTGCACTGCTGCTGGCCTTGTGACCTCCAGGTCTGCTCTCTTGAGCACGTAGTAGCAGCGTCTTCCTGAGTCACCCAGGACAGAGGTGAATTCTTTTCCTGTTGCGTCCACCCATCTCTCTGTCCTGCTTCTCTCTTTGCTCTATTGCTTTCTTCCCCTAATATCCTATATTATTTCTTTACTCATTTACTGCCCATATTTTACCTTTAAAATGTAAATACTACAAAACCAGAGATCCTCCTCTGCTTTATTTATGCTTGTTAAATATTGGTAAAATGTCTGGGTGTGATGGCTCATGCCTATAATTTGGGGAGTGAGACAGGATACTTGCCCATGAGCTCAAGGCCAGCCTGGGCTACAGAGTGAGCCCTGTCTCAAAAAATCAAGACCAAAACAAAATAAAGACATTTATGGGTTAAATATGGTCAAAGTACATGATTTACTTGAAATAAATTGTGCGTTAACAGCCTAATACTATGTACAATGAATATAAACCAAAACACCACAGTTTCAGAAAAAGATCATATTGTAAAATGAATGAATATTGTGAGTTAGGTGATAAAATTACATTCATCTTGTTCACTGAGTACCTGCTATCCACTTGGGGTGTCCCTAACAATAGTGCCCAAAGACTCTGCCCATAGGACCTTCTTAGCTTTATGTGCTTAGCTTACAGTAACAGCATGTGGCAGAACAGGCAGTGCAGACAAAGGTCTAAACAATGGACTACTGGAGCAATGAAGAAACAATTTGGTTAGCAATATTCTAAGTTGAGGACAAGTCCTTGAACAGGGTTCTGAAGATTTGAAGGTGGTTCTGCCTGGTGAGAGGTTAGAGAGAGTGGGGTAGAGAACGCTTGTAGGGAGGTATAGAGTAGCAGGCAGGATGATTTTCCCTGGCCATGAAATACATGGAAAAGGCCAGGTCCTTGAGCTAGAGCTCTATGAAGATGGCTATAGCAATGTCAAGTTGCTTTTTATTTTTCACGGACATATTTAAACATGAATTTGTAAAGGCAATGCACACATGTGGTGGTTTGAAAGAAAATGATCCCCAAAGGGAGTGGCACTGATAGGAAGTGTAGCCTTGTCAAAACAGCTGTGGCCTTGTGGGAGGAAAGGTGTCGCTGTGGGGGGCAGTCTTTGAGGGCTCTTTTGCTCAAGCTTCACCAAGTGTGACAGTCTACTTCTTGTAGAAACCCTAAGGCAATAAGATAAATTTTATTATTACATTTTCATAGACTCCACTTCCCCTCTCCCAGCTCTCCTCTGCCTCTCTTGCTATTTCTTCTCCTCCTGTAAATAATCCCACTTCTTCTTTAATGTTTCTCTCTCTCTCTCTCTCTCTCTATATATATATATATATATATATGTGTGTGTGTGTGTGTGTGTGTGTGTGTGTGTGTCTACATATATGTAGATTCTATATGTAAAAAAGTATGCAATATTTTCTTTCTCCCCCATAACACCCTTGTTCTCATCTGTCCTGTCTTAGTCACCGTTCTATTGCTGTGAAGAGAAACTATGACCAAGGTAACTCTTCTTTTAAACGGTATTTAATTGGGGGCTTGCTTACACTTTCAGAGGTTTAGTCCATCGTCATCTTGGTGAGGAAGCATGGTGGTATGCAGGCAGGCTCTGAGAGCTACACCCTTATCTGCAGGTAGAGAGAAAGGGAGACTGGGCCTGGCATGAACTTTGGAAACCTCAAAGCCTACCCCCAGTGACACACTTCCTCTAACAAAGTCACACCTATTCCAACAAAGACACATTTTCTAGTCCTTCTAACCCTATCAAAGATTTTCACTCCCTGTTGACCAAGCATTCAATTTTGAGCCTATGGGCAGGCATTCTTATTCACACCACCATATTCTCTTAAGCCTTAGTAGTTGTTCCCTCTCCTTCCAGCTAGCTCTCTACTCTCACGTCCTACATATGCAATCTAGGTTCTGTGTAGTTGGACTTTCTTGGCCCACCAGCCCCCAAACTATGACACATACACTTGTTATTAATTATGGAAGTTTTGCCTTTAGCTTAGGCTTGTTCCCAGTTAGCTCTTATAACCTGCTTCTATTAATCTACATGTTACCATGTGACTTATTTTAAGCCTCTCTTCTGTTTTGTATGTCTGACTTCCTCCATGTCTCACTGGTATCTCTCATCTTCCCTCTTCCTGGAAGTCCCATCTATTCTATCCTGCTTAGCTATTGGCCATTCCACTCCTTAATAAACCAATCA